TGAGGTTTGCAGGCAAATGGATGGATCTAGAAAAAATCATCCTGAGTGAGGTAACCCAGACTCAGAAAGACAAATATGGTATGTACTCACTAATAGGAAGATGTTAGATGTGGAACAAGGATGTCTGGACTGCTACTCACATCACCAGTGAGGCTACCTGGTAAACAGGACCCCAAGAAAGACACGGAGAAATGGATGAGATCTACATGAACAGCCTGGACTTGAGTGGGACCAATGAAGGGCGACGGTCGAGTGTGCAGGCCTTTTTTAAGTAGACATTTCTAAGAAAGGCATTCACACAGCAGACTTGAAGGTATTCTTTTTCTTTTTGATTTTTAACATTCATTTTACATACCAACCACAGATCTCACTCTCTTCCCTCCTCCTGTTCCCCAAGGCTTCCCCCAACCCATCACCTATTCCCTCCTCCAACAAGGTAAGGCCTCCTGTAGGGAGTCAGCAGTGCCTGGTACATTCAGTTGAGACAAGTCCAAGTCCCTCCCTCCTGCACCAAGGCTGTACAGGGTGTCTCACCATAGGTAATGGGCTCCAAAAAATCCCACTTATGCACCAGGGATGGATCCTGATCCTACTGCCAGGGAGCCCCTTGTAGATGTAACCAACCATCTTATTACATAAGAAACACAGAACCAATGTAAAAGAGAAAGGCGAAAGGTCAGAGCTCAGAGCTAAAATCTTACCCTTTCACCTGCGGTGCTCCTAGCTTCCCGAAAGAGAGCTACTTCCCATGTGTCTGTCTTTAAATAATCTTTCTGTTCTGCCTTCTCATTGGTTGTAAACCCAAACACATGACTGCCTCGTCACTGCCTGTAAGTACAGCACTCGAGGTCTTAAAGGCGTATGTCTCCAATGCTGGCTGTATCGCTGAACACACAGAGATCTATGGGATTAAAGGTGTGTGCCACCACCTCCATGCTCTTTCTATGGCTCTAATAGCTCTGACCCCCAAGCAACTTTATTTATTAACATACAATTAAAATCACATTTCAGTACAAATAGAATACCACCATAGCCCCTTAAGCATATCAAGCTATACAACTGTCTTACTTATGCAAAGGGCCTAGTCCAGTCCCGTGGAGGCTCCACAGCTGTTGGCCTAAAGTTCATGAGTTCCCACTAGCTTGGTTTGGTTGTCTCTGTAGGTTTCCCCATCATGATCTTGATGCCCCTTGCTCATAGAATCCCTCTTTCCTCTCTTCAACTGGAGTCCTGGAGCTCGGCCTGGTGTTTGTCTGTGGATCTCTGCATCTGCTTCCATCAGTTACTGGATGAAGGCTTTTTGATGACAGCTAGAGTATTCACCAATATGATTACTGGGGTAAGCCAGTTGAGGCACCCTTACCACTATTGTTAGTAGTCTAAGCTGGTATCCTGGTGCATTCCTGGGAACTTCCCTATGTGGACAAATTTCTAATCAGTTTTATTAAATAAGAAACACAGAGCCAAATACAGGGGTGAAAGCTGTAGCGATCAGAGTAATAGGAATATCCACCAGGTAACCTTAGCTCACCCTGCCGCCATAGCTTCCCCTGAGAGCCAGCTTCTTCCCTGTCTAACCTGCGCCTTTATTGCCTTGCTGTTCTGCTTTCTCATTGACTCTTAGCCCAGCCACCTAAATTCCTCATTACTGTCGTACAGGCCTCCAAGTCTCTATGGATGGTACTGGGGTTACAGGTGTATGTCACCATGCTTGGCTGTGTCCTTGAACACACAGAGACTCTGCCTGCCTTGTGATTGGATTAAGGATATGTGCTACCACCACCTGACTTTTGTTTATGGCTGGCTATGTCCTCTGATCTTCAGGGAAACTTTATTTATTAACATACTAATGAAGTATCACCACATTTCAGCACAAATAAAATATCACCACATCCCTAGCATCAGGCTTCTCCATATCCTCATGATGTCTCCCTCTATCATGGTATCATTTTCCTTGTTCTTCCACTCTGTCCCTGTTCCAGTTCAACCATCCTGTTCACTTATGTCATCATCACCAATCCCCTACCCTATAGTGGCCCCCATCCTCAGTTTACTCATGGAGATCTCATCTATTTCCCCTCTCCAGGGTCATCCATGTGCCCCTCTTAGGATCCTCCTTGTTA